TGTTCTGCAGTGCTTGTGCTTAACTTCGTCGGCACGTTTGCACCGCGCAGAGTGTGTTGAACAATTATTTCCTCAATGAGTACGTAATTTTGTTGAACGCTTAAGTGATTTCCCAAACAGCATTCGTGTGTGCGTTTAGCGAGTTTTGTTGGCACGGAACACCGCCGCTTTTTTTTAGTGAGAGAACGAAAGGGGAGGAAAAAGAGAGACGCCCTAAAGGACTAAAGCAATTAAGGTAATTTCACATGTAGTCGTATTGTGGTATGCAAGTTTGTCTGTCTGCCAGCTGTCTTGATACCAAAGGGAAACACCAACTTTGGCAACAAATGAATCCTGCCTTCATAAGCCCTAGACCCAACTGAAGAGAGTACGTAACATTTTGAAACGCGCGCCATTTGAATGCTCATACAATCCTTACAAGGGGACTTATAACACATTTACTGCACCGGCTGTAAAGGTTTATTGCATTGGACTTGAAGAAAACCCCACAGAAACCGCGCAAGCATGTTGGGCAGTTTTACAGGACTTTTACAGCAAAGTCTGAAAGAAGTATACTGTTGTTAAAAGTTTGTGGACTGATCCACTTAACCTATTGTAAGATTCATTATTACATGTCCCAGTACAATATTAGATGGCCGCGCTATACACAGTACATACAAAACAAACTTTATCCGGTTGATTTAACGAAATAATTTAGCTAACAACATAAAACGTATATATCTAAACGTTTTCTAAGTTGCTCGCTCAGACTTGGGTTGCCAATTGTGTATGATTAAACGTTTAATTATGATATTGAACATACAGGGCAAAGCCGTGTAGGTTTTCATGGTTGTGCTGTACGGCTCTCTTGATGTGTATTCAGATTGTACTACGTGTTGTTCAGCGTGATGCCTGACGTTTCACTCCAAGTTCTGGGGAGAACAACACGTTCGACATCATGCCGAACATGTGTTACAACTATAAACACACACATGACAGCTACTGAGTGCACATATTCACGAGAAGTTGTAAAATCACAAATTATAGTTGAGACTCCATACTAGATTCATGGAATTACTAGGATTTAGTGTAATGCCTGAGGCTCATAGAAGCAAACTAAGGCACCCGAACAAGATGAAACACATAAGAGACAAAAATGCCACAGTGCAACAGGCCACCCAGACATTACAAATATAAATTATACACAAGTGGTATGTTGGTGCTATTTTAAAAGTCCCATTTTTCATTGAATATATATTAAAGTCCAGTATTTCTGAAAATGTATTTAAATCCATCCGTTCACTGAATCTAATGCAATGTTTATCAGCAAATGGGACGTTGAATCAGGGTCCTCTACAACGTTTCCGCACAAGTCACATCCTCAAGGTATCTGCAGGGACGACACAGGTAATCATGGATGTTTCTCAAGAGCTTGGCCAGGAATCAAACCTAGTCCCTCGTGACTGTGGGTCCAGCACATTGCACTGCATTTCCATCCACTGAAAGGAAGATGTCATGATTGCTATACAGCACTGAGCATTCCTACAACAAGCCATTCCTGCCACTACTGGTAGCCAAGACAAAACATTCAAATTCCTTTGCTAAAATAACAATGATAACAAGGTGCCGCAATTCCAGATGAAATGATTTCAACAAGGGGCAATTGTTTGGATTTTTTTCATGTACAGCTGCAGCATTGGTCTAAATGTGTGTGCAAAATTGCAGGTGCGAGCAACGTGCATATGTAAAACAAACTCTTTATATAGTCATGGCTATGGTATACGGTGGTGGTGGGGAGAGGGTAAAATGATTGATGTGATGTGGTACATTACCATAGTACACAGAATTTATCCATACGCAGTCATTCCATTTCTGTATTTTAGGTCTTCAAAGTAGAACAAAGCAGACATCTTTTTAGTACTGGGTGACTTGACGGTCAGTGTTTTTGCCAATGAACCAGTAAGCAATGAGCCACCGGTTTCAATTTCCTCATTTGCCTGATAATATATTTTACGGGGAATTTCCAAAGCACTGTGTTCTGTTAAAATGACATCTAAGACCATGTGAAATAATTCACAAGAATAGGTTATTGTGTGTGTATGGGTGTGATAGGCAAAACCATAATTTGACAATCACCCATAACAAGGTTTTAAAAAAATGCCTATGTAACGTAAGCACCAGGGTCCTCCTTTGAAAGAGATAGTGCATTGCAATGGACTGCCAACCAGGTTAAATAAAAAAACATTACAGTAATTAAAGTTTATCAATATGGTCTGTAATGTGATTCAAATCACATCTTGAAGGGATGCACATTAATCGCCTATTGTTTTTGTGCCAAGTTTCCTTGAGCAAAAAAAAGCTCTACAATTGCTTCCTCCGGCTTCACAAAAAACATACAATATTTTCACTGTGTTACCTTATAAAGATAAAACACAAATGCAAATATTTTCCGTATAATCTAACATACTGTTGGGGAATGTTCTATTAGAAATCACCTATAGAGGTCGTGTTAACAACCATCGCCATTCACCACTAAGCAGTAGTGAAATAACGACATCTTTTGTGCCAGGCTAGGTGCACTTTTAAACCATGCGACGAAGATAGTAGTGCATGTAGTGTAGATTCATATTTACAGAGCTCAATAAAAATGTATTATTACAGCCAATGCCGTTTATGCCAGGACACCTTCTGGTAGATCCCACATCTGTTGCAAAGTCAGCTGATCTCCTCCCTGCTCTTACATTATCCCACCATTTGTATTTTAAGTGAGGATACGTCTCACTGAATATTTTTAGGATTACTGTGGACTGGAGTAGGCTTGTGACCAGTAGCCACAGCCATGGTGAGAGTTATTACTGGATGTGGGGTCTAGAAATATTTTCCGAGTTACCATTCTGGACAAACTCAGCTTAAATAAAGCCCTGGCTTCTAAGTATTCTCACAAACACACATCATTCAACAAACAAGCAATGGGACCGTGCTAATCTCCAGACGAGGCCCCAAGTCAGTGGTGGAGATTCCACATTCCCATGGCAGGGGGGGGGGGGGGTCAGTCTCTCCATCAGATGACAGCTGCAAGATTTCCACGAAGTTTTACTCGTTTTGCTCGTTTTCTGGAACGAAAAAATACGGTAAAGTTTGTTTGTTACATCAAAACATTGAGATCAATTGTCACAGCTGCTACGTATTTCCTGAAAAGGCCAAGAAATTGTATTATGCTACTGCCACCACTTCAAGTGGCTCTCCAGGATTTGACTCGTTCACAAACGAAGCTTTCCTGATGCATTCCGAACAGGATAACACTGACTTAATCTCTATAACCTCATCTCTATACCGAAGAACAGAACCGTCGATACCGGACAGCTTTTATCCGTGGCGGCCCTCGCCGTCTGGAACGACGTCCCGCTGCTACACATTCGCAGTAGAAGCGGTGTTCACTCCACGCAGACTTTTAAGAGGCACTTAAAGTGCCGACCAGCTCTTTCGACCGGCTTTCGAGTGACCACAAGCTTGGCTCCTCCATTGCCTCAGAGTTACGATTAATTTTTTGCCCGTGAAATATTGTTCGCGTTATACATTTCATTAACGCGTGAACCTACTTTTTACACGAATATCGTAGCTTGTCGCTGCAGGTGAATTGGCAATGGGATGACAGAGCCCTCTGCTGGAAATAAATAGCATGCACATGTGTATTGAGGGCCAGAGTACTTCCAAATTAGCCTCAACAAAGTATGGCGATCATGAACAAATATCAACTGGTCTTCTTGTGCAATGATTGCCCCCTTCAATGGGAATATGGGATTTCCACCATTGACTCAAAGGGTTTCCAAGAGTGATGAGCAAAAGGCGCTGGCCGTCGGCCATTGGAGCTGACACTGCTTTGACTGTACGACTGAATCTGGCAGTGGATATCATGGATGATGATGCCCCCAATCCAGACCAGTATTGTAATTTCCACAGCATCTTGAGTTACCGGATTAATATCATCATCAGCCATGATCTATCAATCACTGGATGAATGCCTCCAAATTAGGGTTGCCACCATTCCAAAGAACAAATCTGCCAATTTCTGTACTGGTCCGGGTCAAATCCGGACAGGCGGCAACTTTTACTCGCAATGCCATCACCATCCCCCTCGCGTTGAAACTCCACGTGGCCCTACGCGGTAGCGGCGGTCGCCGCCGCTTGTTGTCGCAGAGGTTCACAGTTCGAAAGCCAGCGGCCGCCCTGAATAATAGTGCGGGTGGCTTAACCTCAATTGGAATGCCACTCGTCCGTCTGCTTCACTCGCAGTGGAAGTTAAATATCCCGCGGCGTCCTTCGCAGGAGTTGGCCATTGTGCTGCGGCGTCGCGGTCCAAACTTGGAAATTTTGAAAAGTTACCCCGCAAAGTACTCCATTGGGATTATACATAGCAATCATCGCTAAACAAACGAAAATGACGGGACCCTCATAGTTTCATTTATTTCATAAGAGCAACGAGAATCAGTAGTGTGGCTTTCCTGGGGAAACGAGAGTAGTAATTAAAAAAAAATGTACAATACATTTTATTGTAAAATTGGCCAGCAGAGAATCCCACGTAGAGCATGAAAAGGAAGATTCAGAGCCTTCAATTGTTGAAACGACGCACCTTGGTATTACGTCATCGTACAATGCCACGACACCTTTAAACAAAAGTTGTTCAATGACTATTCTTAGCTCTTTCGGTAAAGTCACGTTGAAGGGAATCAATACGTGACTTTACCGAAAGAGCTAAGAATATGAATTACTGCAGTCACGAAAGCTTTAAATCAAGATTTGTTCAATGACGTCATCTACAACTTTGGTGGGATGACGTCATCCTCCATTACACTCGTTGCGACCTCCACCCGGACTCTTTGGCAACGATGACGTTTCCCCCGCGCGTGTTTCCCGCGATGACGCAACCCTGCGCGAACGGCAAAACACAGCGTCGTGGTCGCGCCATGCGGGCCCCGAGAAATGACGTCAACGCACTGCGAAGCTTATAAATGACGTCGCGGCTTTACAGCCGTCACTCCCCTCCCACTCTCGCCTGCTGAGTGACGTCATCACCGTGCCGCCGCAGCTCACGCCGGGCCACGCTTGTCAATGTCACAACATGTCCCGGTCATCGTAACTTACTTTTAAATTCACCCCCTGTTATTGTTATTATTGGTCTAAGTTACCGTAAACTCTGGGTGTACGTTGCGTTGGATATCTCGAGGATGTTCGCCTTTCGGCGTCTGATCTCCGCGCAGCTGGTGAGTGAGGGTCAACGGTTCGGTGTGAACGTCCTGTTGCATAAGCGACGTGCCGGTTCAAAGTACCCTCCTTGAGTTTTGACGTCGCACTCGCTCTTGAGAACTATTCGTGCGAGTGTCTGTGCGCGGATCAAAGGGTGTACGCGTGTTCAGTGGACGTCGGGCGTATATACGGAGGTGGGCGGCTGTGAAATAAAGAGCTTCATGGCTCATCGGATTTCGCCCGCAGAGGACGTGCCCCAGTGCAGGTGGAGGCCGTGAGAGTCGGATCAGCGCGTGTGCAGGTGGCCTGTGGATCGCCACGTCGCAGGAGAGGCCTCCATCCAGCAGTGGATTGATCGTGGCTGATGATTCGTACCGTTTCTGGCCAGTGGGTAAATTGTGCAACGATAGAAGTTGGGTTGGTCCCCGTCATGGGATGGTGGAATGTCCACCACTGGCTAAAAAGCACGTGGACATTGAGCACTGCCCGACATTTGTTTCGGCGTGGATACACTTTCCGTTTCGAATGTTTACAAATTGAAAGCCATTTTCATTGCACGGTGCAATCCCTTGTTAACCCGTTATCCTTAAGGGGCCGATCAAATAAGTAGCGCACTGTGGAAACTCAGTCGCGGGTCGTCCTTAGCAGACCGCACCCAGGCATAGGAATGTGGAATTTCCACCGCTGCCTCAATGCCGCCAAGAGATGAACATTGCCCGATGTTCGCGGTCACGCCGTGCGGCACTTTTGAGTTGGATTTGTGCATGTCGCGTGAACTTTCTCTTGCTCCACAATCCCTGCAGAGCTCTTCACTTTCAAGGCGTCGCCCGGCTAACGCAGATCACCCTCAAGCCTCCTGTCGCAGCGGCCGGTTTGAGAGACGTTTGAGGGCATGTTTTAGTTGCTCAAGCTGGAAGGAAAGAAAAAAACGATTTCACAAGAGCAGCAGCGAGATCCATTGGGGCAGTTTTAACCGATAAGGTCTCCTTGGCTAGTAACTGCTTTTCGAGGCAACTTCGCGTTGCCCGTGTTACATCACAGGTGCTGTGAGAGGTGGCGACAGTTTGCAGCCATCATTCAACAGTGGATAGATCATGGATAAAACCATAACGTGAACTCCGGGCATCCTAGCAGCAGCGGCTGTTTTAGCTAGCGATCAAACAAAGGTGGTCACTTGCATCGCGCGCTTTCAGATGCGCGTTTCTGCGGCCGTCTGGAACGCTCTTCCTGTATTAGGAAGCCACTGGAACTTATACACTTTTAAATCTAGATTGAAAACTAATTTCTTTACAACTTCTTTTTGTGTTTAGTCGGTTGTCCCCGCACCTCCGATTGGCACGGTTGGCTACATACGGCTACGTACGGCGCGAAAGAGGTTCAACATACGTACAAAGTGGACTTCACAATTTACACATACTGTAGATGGAAAGCATTGGCTGACATGGGGAGCTGAACTGGATTCCTCTGAACAGAACCAGGACTTGGCTACATCACATTTGTAGTCTGTGCACCAGAGACAACGGGCAAGAACATTTCATTGCTTGATTTGCCTCATTAATATTTCACTTTGCTAAATTTCCATTCATTTGTTGGTTAATGAAGGGCCATTTAAACCTAGGGTCTGAGATTAACTGGGGGGTGGGGGGAGGGGCAGCAGTTTTTATGCTTCACTGCCAGAGCAACATCACCAAATGTATTGTGAGGGCAAGAGGTGCTGTTAAGCACTATAGTTTTGTTTTCATGACCAGTAACCGAATGAGAAAACCGGTTACTGGTTTGCCCCCACCCCCTTTCACCAAAACACGCTGACCAGAGTGGTGAAGTATAGTAAAGCAATCGCCTTTCATTCTCAAAGGGCTGGACTAGAGAAATGAAATATCTTTGTCTCTGCAGTTTAACTGTCCTGACTGCTGATGAAACCGTGTTGTTCAAAACCTGTACAGAATTAGTTTGTTTAAACAACATTGTTTCATTAAGCCTAATAAACATTGTTCCAAAAGCGCCTTGTAGGCCGATGGTCAAAAATATATTTTATTTTCCATGGAGCAGACCTGGAGTCTGTTACAATTACAGCAATTTCATCAAGCAAAGCAGCTGAACTGTTTAGTGCTGGACTCCACTAAAGTTGAGCTACTTGACTTCACTAAATTAATTCAATGGCCAGACAGGTTTTAAATTACAATTGTATAACTAACTACTAAATAAAATTGTGGCCCTAAATTATGACAATTCATCAAGTCGCTGTGGTTAGTGAATCATTACATGTGAAATAATTTATTATTTTGATTACACTTTCCATTTGCCACGGTTATTTTCTACACTAATATGTTTTGTTTGTTTGTACCATGCATTTCAAATGTACTTGCACCTCAGGTCTCGAGGGGCTGTCGCCCGGTTGGGTGCCGCGGTTGCGTGATGTTAACTACTTCGCCTGGCATACAGGAGGTCATCAGGTCGATCTCGACCCTGATGCCTGTATATTTGGATCTTGATTTGAAGCTTTCGTGACTGCAGGAATCCATACTCTTTGGTTCTTTCGGTAAAGTCACGTAGGTAGAAAAATAAAACAAAATGAAAATAATATATCGCGACGTTTCGATCGCAACACAAGCGGTCGTCCTCAACACAAGCGGTCGTCCTCAACACAAGCGGTCGTCCTCAACACAAGCGGTCGTCCTCAACACAAGCGGTCGTCCTCAACACAAGCGGTCGTTCGCAACAGACGACCGCTTGTGTTGCGATCGAAACGTTGTGATATGTTATTTTTTATTTTGTTTAATTTTTCTACCTACGTAACTTTACCGAAAGAACCGAAAAGTATATTTGGGGTTTACATGTTCTCCCTGTGGTCACATGGGGTTTTCTCCGTGTCCTCTGGTTTTTCCTTCCACATTTAAAAATATGAGTTGAGAGTATTTGGTTGCGATAAATTCCCACAATATGAAGCCACTTCATTGGGCTATTACTTGTGGCCTGGTCAATTCGAAAAAGAGAGCTATATATAGCTCGGTGGCCCTTATCTGGTGAAATCTAACGTAATTAATAGTTTAGTTTACAGTAAGGGTCACACGGGCTGACTGGTCGCTTCGTGTCTCCGAATGCTCGTGCTGCATGTGCTGCCCACGCTGAGCTTACTCCAGGAGCGCGCGCGTGCCGGGCTGCTGCGGCGAGCGAGCTCGGCTGGCTCCGAGGGCGAGGCGCGCATTTCCAGCGTCCTCCAGGAGAAGTTCCCCAACGCCAAGCAGGTCCGCGTGGTCGACGTCTCTGGTGAGGCTGCCGCTGCCGTTGACTGCCCATCAATTCGGCCTCCCTGCGGGCCGTGCATTTGACGCATTGGTGTCGATGTGTGTTCATAGGTAAAGGTAAAAAAAAAAAAGATAAAGGTGCAGCTCTGCAAATTCGTGTTCATGTCACTGGTGACAAGAAGAGCCTCCACTGCAGGAAACCCTGCTAGGGTTATTTGGCCTGTTATTCTGCACTGGCCAGGCATCTTAGAAGAGGTGGTAGTAGTCAAACTTTACCCAACCACACGTGACTTGCTGGTCGACTCGACTGTGGTGTAGCCCTTTGAAACTGGGTGGGCAGAGGTGGGGATGTTTACGAAACGTACACCATTGTTTCAACTGCCACACCGGGAGATTGAAAGTTCAGTGTGCGAACCGTTACATCACGGCGGCATCCATACGTGCGTTAATGTATGTTTGTCTGTCTGTATTATTATGTGCAGGGGGGGATCGGGGGTGAATAAGGTTAGCTGACTTTCACGATGCACCCAGCCACTGGAGTTAAAGTCCCGGTCATGGCTAATGTCAGTGGCTATTGATAACTTAACTAATCCTGGTCTCCCCCCCCCTCGTTGATCAGCATTGAGAAGTATGATCAAACAACCCCCTTGACAGAAGCACTGTGGAAAAGGCTCTCATCCAGCAGTGGGTTGCCAAAATGGCTGTAAAGTATAATTATTTGATTTAGACCTCTAAATCACTTGCTATCGGTATTCCTACAATGCTTGGTGGTTAGAGAAATGCGGTATCCGTAACTTGTTTACGTAATTGCTGTTGTGCGTGCTTTCCCGGCATGCCCCATTAACTACAGATTATTCCACTATTTTAGGGCCACACATACTGCATCCACCATTCACGTCTGGAATTTACAGCACACACAAAATTACATGGTTCTTTAATAGTCTGCTTAAGTCTACAGCATTCCTCTGCTGCATCAGCAGGAGTATGTTTTTTTGTTTGAAGTTTAATATAATTTAAGCTGCTATGTCTGTATGTAGTGGAAAAGTTAATTGCCTTGAAAATTTCCTTAATATTCCATAAATGTCTTGTTACATCTTGTCGTGTTGTACAAATTCTTGGCTTGTTTAGTTTTCATTTGTCCATTAGCTTTCACTTCATGTGAATTCAATTAACTTGTCAAGCAGCTTAAATATAAATTATGTCTAGCAGCAGTAGTTCCGTAAATAAAATGTATTATTTATACTTGGCATATACTGTAATTGCTAAAGCAACAGTAATGCATTTTGTATATGTTTTTTTCTTCATATTTCTGTCAGTATTCATGGACATCATAAGCCATTATCTTATCCACTGCTGAATGAGAGCCTCCCCATGCCTTCAGCATCTCTCATGGTCTTGCAATGTAAAAATCCATGAAGTGCCTTTGCACGAGCTGAGTTTATTTCCGCATGGACGTATTACCGGGTGTGTTCCATTGTTTGGCTGTCACTTGCATCGTTCGTTTTAATGAATGGGCATTGTCCTATCCAGCGACGTGTCCTGCCCAAGCCCATATTTCTTAACAGTTCGTACGACAACGCATGGGTTTTTGCAACCAATATTAAGATTTATAAAGGATTTTCCAGTTTGGAGTGAATACGTGTTATCTGTGCGTATATAAAGTAACAAACATGTGCATTTTAAAGTACAAAGAAGACTATTTTTGTCTCCTAGAAAAGGCATTGTCTCGATGTTTTTATTTTATTGTCGTTCAGGAAGACGATGGTTTATAGTTTAAGTTTTAAATACACGTAGAGGATGGGTGGGATTTTGTTATTACAATGCTAATTGTGTAAAACTTTATCAAAGTAGAGAAGGCAGGGTGCGGTAGTAATGGGCAAAATTTCAAACAATTTGGATCTATGAATAAAATTGGACTTTATTTAAATACGTTGTCTTTCACAATCCCATGGTATGGATCAAACCCTTTGCAATGGTGTCTGGGGAATTATTCAAATTAAAATCAGTTAATTATTGTATTCTTTGGGGAAACTATTGTATCCTAAAACTGATCATGGATATTGTTTTATGATTACGTCACCTACGTGACTTTACCGAAAGAACCAAAAAGTATGGATCCCTGCAGTCACGAAAACTTCAAATTTAGATTAGAAATTTTATTTAGAGGATATTAAACTCAAAGTACCTTAACAGTACCTTGCAGTTGTGCACAAAGAAGCGTGGAGAGATGCATGTTTGGAATGACATTGAGACAGAAAGAGGAACGTGAATTGGAGACCATGCAGGTTAGAGATGTAACATGGACTTAAAAAGAGTAAGTGGGCAGGACACATACTCGTACTTTATATTTAAGCTTTTAAAGGCCCATCGAAGCTAACCAGCTCTAAGCAGAAGGGATGATGGCCGGTGATCTCAAATAAATTAGAGAACTCTCTAAAGTACATCCACCACGGAGGTATAAAACCCAACTTATTTGCAGGTGTTAGATAGATTGGTACATCCCAGGACTGTGAGAGATGGTGAAGACTTGGGGGAGGCCTTCATCCAGCAATGAACTTGTCATGGCTGATGATGAAGATGAGTGTACTAGTGACATCACTTTTACATCACCCCAATGCGTTTAAACACATCACTGTGGTGACATCCATAGAGTAATTCTAGATTTAAAGCTTTCGTGACTGCTAGGATCCATACTCTTTGGTTCTATTGGGTAAAGTCACGTAGGTGAAAATAAAATAGCAAAAAATCACGACGTTTCGGCCACAACACAAGCGGCCTTCATCAGGTGATTTTTTGTTATTTTATTTTCATCTACGTTACTTTACCCAATAGAACCAAAGAGTATGGATCCATAGAGCACTCCTAACCGTGAATTTAAATACCTTGTCACATTATCGTCGGCTAGATGCCCAAGGCCATCGAGCCGAGGCACGTATCCGCAAGATAACATCCGACTGTTTTCAGCTTTCTTCTCTCCCTTAAATGTCGCGCCTGCGTTGCCGCGCGGTGCGTTTGCAGGTGGCTGTGGGGCCATGTACGAAGTACACGTGGAGTCGGAGGAGTTTCGGGGAAAGCGCGTGGTGATGCAGCATCACATGATCAACCAGGTGGGGGCCCCCGTGAGCCAGTCCCTCCCACAGCCAGCCATGCTTGGCGTCGGCTTGCAGGGGGGGGGGGGGAGGCTGCCGTTACTCACGGGAATGAGTTCCTGATTCCCACCCCTCGCTTCTGGGCCCATGATTAGAACATTGCCATTCACACCGCTATGCACACTCGAGTTAGTCAGCTGAATGCGTGCATTGATTACGATGCTGTAACAACAAGGGCGAGGAGGTGTATAAGTGAGATTGAAGGAGTGGATATGAAGGCTATTGTCATGTACATAGTATGGCATGCTAGTTATATTACAGTAAAACCTTGCCGAATGCGGGGGTTACGTTCCTGGAAAATACAATGATGGGCCAAACTGCGTTTGACAAATAATAGGCCTAATGTGAAAATTAGGGAATTATCGCCTCCCTCTTTATGTAATTAAATCTCAATGATTTGACCCCACTTGATATCACGTCGAAATAAAAACAGACACATAATACATTTAAATAGAATATGAGAAAATATTAAAAAACATTGAATGAAATAATCGTGTCCTCCGATTTCTTTATCGTTCTCACAATCGATTAATTCAAGTACCCTTCCAACAGATGCAGCATTCTCACCACTCTCAAGCCTATAAAAAAAAAAAACTGCACTCAACTTGCGCTTAGGGGCCATAATTAAACATTGTCTAAGAGCACTGAGAAGGAAGATGTGCACGGAATGCTGGTGACGTACGGAGTGAGACCGCACAAGAGCGCTGCGGAGGGAAGGTCACGACGAGATATACTGTACAGTACAGTACAAGCAGACGGTGAACTACTTGTCCAGATGGAGATGAGAATCTCAGCAGCGTCAAACCGCGCACAGCCAAAACATCACCCCCATGTTCCGGAAAACGTACCTTGCGTGAATTGTGTCTTAGCAGAAACATGCATTTGTTAAAACGGCATTGGGCAAAGCATGACTGACTATAAGAAAAAAAAGTTTTGCTGGCTGGCTCGGCGGTGCCATCACCGCACACATCTGCATGATGACGTCATCCGTATCCCAATCCTCGATTTACAAAATCTAAGCTTTAAATAACTTTAGGGCTCCAGCAATGTCAGAATCTGGCCCCGGCCGTGTATCCCACGCAAATGCACGGGCAGTGTTCATATGGTACAATGCAGTGTTCATTACATTGCGGTGCATAGGAGTCTGATCGAAAATGACTATTCGATTTATGAGGATGGTGCAGGAGATGACATTATTAAACGTTGGTGAATGAGGTTTCTACTCGAGAGCAGATATGAACTAGCCGAGAAGGAACATAGGGAGTATCAAGACGATAGAAATTAGGAAATGAAACTGTTAGGAAAAATCTAGGCCAACAGGAAACTGGTGCAAAAGATACAAAAATGCAGAAATATTTCGCGTGATCGTGTAAAAGAATGGAGGTTGACAAAACCGGGCGCTGGTGGCGTATGTCTCTAATCCAGCACAGTGGAGGCGATGTTTGGTGGATCGCACAAATGTTGAAAAACTGTCTTCCATACCCCGACTTGCCAGGAGAAGTCAGTACAGCTAAATATGGACGAACATCATCTGTCCCTTCTATATGGGAAGGGCTGTTGCCCCCCCCCCCTCCCCATGGGTTTCATCTGGGTGCTCCGGTTTCCTCCCACATGTATAAACATTTGGGAGGCGAATAACATGTTCAGATTTAGAGGTCGGCAGAGCTTTCAAAATTTTTGGCGGCCGAATCACCACCCGGCCGCCTTCTAGATTGTCTGTTTTCTCAGCCATCGTGCGATTCAATTTGCATGAACGATGACGCTATATATGAAACAAAACGTTACTATGGTTTAATGACCATCGGTGGACGAGTAATGCCATGTGTATGGACAAAGTAGTAAGGGTCATCAATGCAAGAGGTGCATTGACATCATAAGGCAGGAGTTCAAAGAGGTAAGTGCAGGCCTACCGGAAGCGATTGCTAGAGAAAGGAAGAAAAGAGTGGTATAGAGATGAAAGTGGTCCTGAATTTGGACTTGAAGGGAGTCATTGGTGTGGATAGTGAATGGTGGGAGCAACAGATGTTTGGGCGGGGGAGAACGGTGGAAGCTACCATGGAAAGTGTGGGATCTGCAGAGATAAAGAGGGTATGGCAAGGTCAATAATATGAAGTGGCTGGCTGAATAAGAGCACTGATGGTTATGCCTTTGTCACAATACCAGCTCTGTGGAGATCCTTGGTTTAAAGCCCAGACAGCTGCTCAAAATTAAAGCCAAGTATGAATGTTCAATAGTCTCAGCTCGGATGAGCACAGTTTATGCAGCAAGTTATTAAGAAAAAATGCATGTCACGTATTACAATGGCTCTCAACACAACAGAGTTCACATTTATTTCAATTCAAACTCGAGCATCACACGAGTGCACCCCACAAATTAGAAATAACCGCAACGCAGGTTTGAATGCGTGTGCTGTTCTCTTTTAAAATGGAGTGACACATTTCACGGGTTGTGTTTTTTTTTTATCGAAAACATGCCAGCTATCTTGGCTTGGCACTGATGCATCACGTTATTTTCACCACTATATTTTCATCTCACAACGTTTGCATTGTGTTACATATTTGTTTGTTTCTGAAACTGTTTATACACTAAACTAACATTGCAGCTACGTGTGTATTTGCTTCTCTTTGCAGGCACTGAAAGATGAAATCAAGGGAATGCATGGATTGCGAATATTTACAACAGTTCCAGAAGAAAAATAATAGGGAGTCTTTAGCCTCTGTTAGCAGGCATTTGTTCGTATATATACTGTGTATTGCTGCCATTTTGCCCATTTGGATTGTTTGGGAATTTGTACAAGCTCACATATATAAAAAAACACAGACAAAATGAAAGCGTTTTAGTTGCTTGCTGAAAGATCTGTGTTGTCACAGTCGCGTTCTAAATAGACAGCTTAGGTTCTAATTTTACTATTCTAAACGGGAAACTTATTACCTCCGATCGGTGCACAGGGAAAGGATTATAGTTGCAATCCTGAGTGTCGGAATTTAGGAAGAGCATTTTGTTAACATAGATGTGTGACTTTAAAAGGGACTCACGATTACAGCTTGAAGTGGCTTTGTTAATTCCTTCATTTTGAAACCGCACATTTTGGCAGCATCAATAGATATATGCAGTTGCGTACTTATGCATAAATGTTACACTTATTCACTGTTATCTGCCGTTTCTCAGAATAATACTACGAAATTACCAGCCATAATTTATTAATGTTGCCAAGGTTTTACATACTGTAAGAGCAAATTATTATAGGAAACGGACAGAACATTTCCACCCATAGTATACAAATCTAAATACATCTGTAGAATGGCAGAAATGTTACTATTACATGACAATCCCTTTTTCCAAGCATTCTCCATAATAGTGCAAACATACGTGAGCCTAAATGTTACAGCAGCTTCAAAGGACTGCACGTACACGTCTTGCAAAAACATATATTAGAATTCTGTAGTTGCCTTTATGTAGATGTTATGCTTTTGTACATTTTACAAGCAAAACATTTCTCCAGTTATAGTGTTATCGCTGGGCACATCAAGGAAAGGGGAAGATGATGTTTTAAAATTGAGGTTGTAGGCAGGGCTGGTCTGCCTGTGGATTCATTGTGTTTGTTTTGTTGTGGGTATGCCTCCTAAGAAATTGGAAATGCCAATCTCAGAGGTTAATGTCGCCACTACATCAAGCCTGCAGCACGAAACTGCATTGCAAGCGAGCCAATATAGCCCTCGACAGGAACACATTTTTCCCGTGCGTTTCATCCATATGGAGCAGCATCTATACATTTGCTTTGTCTGGTTATTAATCCATAGCAACACAACATTGCTTTAAACTAATTGCATGTTTCAATAAAGGAATGAATTGCGCACATAGCCGTACATTTCTGCATCTTCACTAGAGATGTTTTTTCTTTTTTTGCTGAAATAAAAATTCTAATTCAGATTTGTATCGCTTAATCCAGTATTGTGCTGTGCATCACGAACTTAAGTTGATTTTCCTTTATGGAGAGGTGGTTCAGTCACGGCAGATGCAAACGACCACAATTTAAGCCGGGCAGATCAAGTTTCGGTAACAAATTGAGATTGGCAAACAGTTCTTTGAATATGCAAGGCGTATGGAGAATCTCTGAAGTTTGTTGGAAACCTAGTCTATTTTGAAATGTGCCTAAGAATGTAAATCGTAAAACAAACGTTGGCCAAATGGCAAGAATGTTTTAACTTGGTCAAAATGAAAGCCTGCATATTCCTCTTAAAAGTCATGCATACTTTTTAGAAACTGCCAATTTTTATATTTACATATAGAATGGCAATTACTACAATTCCAATGCTGCAGTCTTCCTACTGTTGGGAATATACAATGTGTCATTATGTGATTCAAATGAAAGTATCTTTAATTTCCCATTCATGCCAACCTTTCATTATCCTGCTTCATGTCATGTGTGGAATTATGCATAACTTTTTTGAAGGCTAGGTTTTGGGAACTGCAACAATGGTTTTGGATTCTGGTTTTCTGATTGCAAAGCTTAATTTTCTGTAACATCTGTATGAAATAACTATTTTTTACAAGCATTAGATTGGCCATTTAATAAACCCCATTTAAAACATTAAGAGGAACAAGTCTTGTAAGCTGATGTTGTATGCACTAATGTAATAGAGCAGATAGTGTTCATGCTACGGTATATAAGAGATATATTTAAATATTGACTTAAAGCGTTCATGACTGCAGGAATTCATTGTCGTTGTGTCTTTCGGTAAAGTCATGTAGATAGAAAAAAAAATTATCACGACGTTTCTATCGCAACACAAGCAATCGTCTTCAGGTGAAAAAATTGAGCGTCGTGATTTTTTTATTTTTCTATCTCCGTGACTTATCCGACAGACCCAAAGTGTGTAGATATATTTAACATTAAAAGAAAGTCTGGCTGTGAAACGCACAAACTTAGAATCGCGAGTTGGTTAACAAATGTTTGCACTGCTGTCATTTGCTGTAAACCCAAGTGTCAAGACTTGCAATTGTGTATCGATGTAAGTTATAAAATGCTTGACTGAAATTAACTTAATTCACATTCTTGCTTCTGCAAAATGTTTGTTGTCATCGGTAAGAAGTTTAAAGGTCAGAAAGCCATCCGTGTATTGTAGCAATGGATGAATTAGAAATCGAATCTGCATCAATTGCTCAGATTTAAAAGAGTGATTCAATTCACGTGTTACACTTGGATACGAGATGTTTACCGCGTTGACTAAATTGGACAATGTGAATGATTGCAGCGCGTTTGAATTGCTGGCACAGGTAAAAAAAAACATGTTTGCCTTATTTGTGACTTGCTGTGATTTGAACTGAGGTCAGGGAGTTGTAAAATTGGTTGAATGTTGATTTCATATAAGTAAATAAATAGACGTGACATTGCACTGCTCTGCCTATACTCTGATGGTTCAATATTAATCGAGCACATTTTCGATGTGATTTAAACAATATGAATGCTGAGCAACACTGACTTGTCTATGGTTTTCTAAGCAAACTTTTTTTTAATATATATAATGTTACATATGGTGTGAGCATAAAATAACAATTGGTGCTTGATGTATATTTAACGATATGAATAGAAGATCAATATTATCCTGAGATGCAACTATAAAAATGTTTTCTTGTTTCGATATTGGGTTGCCAGGTAGCCTAATAGCCCCAATGTTCGGAGTCACTTTGAAGGTTGTATTGTTACGATTGGCAACGTATTCAGGGAATCCTCGAAGTACACTGCTGTAAAAGTGGAGATGCACTACCCTGTGACATTTTGCAATAAGAGATTACGCTTGACATTTTCATAGTCCAACCCCAATGTTTAAAAATAACCTCCAAATAAGTCACATTTCAAAAGTAATATGATTAATATAATACCCCAATGCAACTTGGGTTCATAACACCCCCCCCCCCCCCGAATGATCATGCTACTCTCACCTGGATTAGCAAAGGGCATTGTGGATACAGATATTTAGAATATTATATTCACTCTTGGCCATTGCCTGCGGGGCATCATGTGAATGTTTGACACTTTTTCTCCAGGAAATGCCCCTTGATATCAGCCATCAGCTTGTGTTAATTCCAATTGCAGTCACAGTCTTCTGTTCATTGTGCAGATTTGCATTGATGTTTTGTGTGTTTAAGACATGATTAAGGTGTGTTGTATGTGTCAGTTACAGATGCTTCTCTAATTCAATAAAATCCTTCATAACATTCTTACTTTGAGAGATGTGGTATTTTAAAAACGTCCTTCATACCTGTGTTGAAAACAAGTTGAAATGTATTTTTTCCACGATAGAAAATATTATGCATTGATTTCAAACACATTGGACAGGGCGAGTCAACGCTACAAGTGTCACATGACCTCGATCTCTCACCTTGCCTAATGCATCGCAAATCTGCAACACGGGCTCTACATGCCTGTGTTCAAGAATACATTTCTCCAATGTACTTTTTCGTCACCCAAATCCCTCTAATCCATCGAAGGCATTTACATAACCGAAAGGTCATGTCCGGTTATGCCTGTACTTACCCCTGCTGCGCGGGCACACAGCACACCTGCGTTTTTGACAGTCACTTTCTGCACGTCCGTTGCCACTGGAAATCTTGGTCTGAAGTAATCGGGTCAAAGGTAAAGGTGTCTCGTGTGAGCCACTCACCTCGACTGGTGACCTCTGAGCCAGCGGTGTAAAATCCCACAGCTGCATTGGAGAGAGTTCCTCCAAGCGATGACAAATGTTGGCTTTTCATCACAGTGGTACTTGTTTTATTAACCCTGGAAAAAAATGGCATTGCCGAGTTGATTTTCCCACACCCCAAACAGGAATTGAACTGGATAACTTTAATCGCATATGGATATTCAGAAGCTGCATGATATAAAATACAACAAAGATCCAGCTGAAACATCACGAGGCCATGCACACATCCGATTCGTTCAATACACCTTGTAAATGAAGACACGGGATGGGGACTGGCGGTGATGCCACTCAGGTGGTAGAGTGGCCAGCGTGAAAGGTGCGTGTGACTGACACCATTTGAACTTCGCGTTGACCGACGTGACATAGGCGGCACGTGTCTACAAAATAAGAGCTGTGTTCAGAACACTCAGATTTATGTGGCGGTTATGGAAGAGGTCATTGATTTACTTGGCTATTTTGGACCAATATTGTTATTCGTTTCAAGCCTTAAGAGAAAAGCATCCAATCCTGACTCATCTTTTTTTTTATGAATATCGACAAATGAGGAGTGTGGCATTTCCAATATATCTAAAGCAGTGGTTGTGCGGACCCGTAGGTAATCCCAGGATCTCAGGGATAGACTCATTCTCCTGGGTCAGAGGTCTCCTTACAGATCTCAATATCTTCATGGGAAACTATCAAATCTGGCTCACTGATAACATCAAGATTGGCCTCTCATCTGGAAAACCTCTTTTCCACGGTTTATTATAAGAGATCGAGTGAGGCTTTCACAATACGTTTCTATGCCGTCGGTACGCGCACTGTGAATTTCTTTTCTCCACAATACTTTTCTCTGAATACCTCACGAAATGCACGTGGGGATACATTGACGCCGAATGTCTTGCTCCCACTTGGTTTAGCAAGACAACTGAACCACCGGTCAGATGTTCCGATGTTCAGAACGCATGCCGTCCGCATTACTTGTTCCGAGCTTGGACGATTGTGTTCCAGGCCTCACCTGCAGTACTTACTAAATAACGGAGGCTGCTCCTCCAGATTTGTCAGGCACTGCTGATACTCTGAGAACGGGAACCTCGCATATTGGCATCTCTAGAACATCTGGGCGCTTTCAACCGAGGGGAAACAAGCAGCATACAAAAGTACGCAGGGACCCTTTCTAGAAGCTAATTGCTCCCCCCCCCCCCCCGCCCCTGAGATTAATAGCATAGAATTGCTCCATGGGCAGGAGCATTGGATACATCCTCGCTAGCATGCGTCATTCTAAAGCACGCCGTTCACAGGATATATTTATTAGACGTGGGTGTAAAAAAAAATAATTATGAATTCATTGTCACTCCATCCGCCCTTCCGATGTTGCTCCCCTCCGTGCTGCAACATGTGTGTTGCTTTCATCGTGTTAGCTGATCATAACCGGGTTGCCTTTACTCACACATGTTCAGTCTGTTGCGCGTCACGTCGAATAGAATGTTTGAAGAACATTTGTGGGCTGGGGGGCTGGGGGAGGTGTTCCGGTTCAATCTTTATTTACCTGCGCGTTCAATTTTCGCGCACTGCACAAACGTCGCTCTCATAGTTCATAGTTCCATTTATTTGGTATAGCCCTGTGAGCCATTCGGCTCTTGAATCGGGTGCAACCGTAACAAACAAAAAACAAAAAAGATGAACAAGAAAACATCTTAAAGTGATTGTGTGACTGTGCAAACAGAAAATCCAGGAAAAAACATCAAAATATTCCTGAAATAGCACCGTACACCAAGCTGTGTGCAAAAATCCCAGTGGGATGCAAGTCAAACAACAACAACAACAACAACCACAAGACAACTAAGATTTAGGCCATCAGTTTAACTCCGTACTAAAATAAACAAAAACATGGCCAAACCAAAAAAACTTTTCGAAATCACCAAAATAAAAGCCATAAATGCAATGTAACAGTGATCATAGGGACTGTGACCAAATTTTTTACAATAAACTACATAAATAAATTATAACACCAAACCCAAGAGCCATATTTTAGGCCACTGAATAGCAGTGGCAGATAGGGGTGTACAACTCTAGAGCATATTCTTAGTTTTTTCGGTAAAGTCACGTTGAAGGGAAACAACAAAATAATAAAATATATATATATAAAACAATAAAAAATTCTCACGACGTTTCGACCATAACGCAAACGGTCGTCTTCAGGTGTGTTGGTTTGCATAAATTTATTTTTAAACGGCGCATTTATTTATTTATAAAAACGTTAGCGCCACGCGCAACGATTTGGCAGTTTATTTAGGACTAGTCCATCTATATTCTGAAAAGAGGAGGGGGGAGACGAAATTTTTTATAATGTATGCTGTCTGAAAGCCACTGTAAGCGTGAACAATCAATTAAGACCTGAAATGGTTTATCAAATCTTTCCAATTATTGCTAAGATAGAATCCATCTTCTCGGTTGAAATTGTCTCTGTGCTTGTATATGTAGATAGCCTCATGAACGAATCTCTCATGGTAGCCAGATGGCTTACAAAGAACCTCTGTCTTGGAAAAGTCAATGTCATGTGAGCCTACTGAATTAGAACAATGATCTGCCACGGCCGAGGTGTTGGTCCTACCGTGTTTAAGGTCTGCTTTGTGTTCACGAATGCGGTCCGAGACATGGCGTTTGGTTTCTCCAATGTAACTACTACCACAGAGGCAACTTAGTTTGTAGACACCAGGGTATTGTATGTCCGGAATCACATCTTTTACAGACGGAACCAGATCACGGATTTTATGTAATGTGTTGAAACGGACCTGGATCTTGTGTTTATTCAAGATTTTGGAGATCTTTTTTGTGATCCCCGCAATGTAGGGTAAAGTGATGGGTTTGAAAGGCTCCTCAAGAGGGTTCTTCTTCATGGTTTGAGTGATAGCTTTGCGGATTGTATAGTCGGAGTAACCATTAGCCCTAAGAGCTTGGTGTACGTGCTTGAGTTCACTGCTTATGTGTTCCTGGTCGGATATGCATTGGGCTCTATGATACAGAGTCTTGATGAGAGAATTCTTCTCTCATCAAGACTGCAGTCACGAAAGCTTTAAATCAAAACTCTAGAGCAGTTTTGAGTGAATATCTCATAGGTAGTGATTCAATTTGCAGTTTATTGGCAATAGCATTCCAGACCATGGGGGTAACAATAGCAAAGGCCCTTCCTCTGGTTTTTGTACGGCAATAGGGAATGTGAAGCTGGTAAATGAGCGAAGACCTGAGGTCAAATTTGTTCTTTGAAACAGAGGAGATCCAGCAGGTAGTCTGCGGATTTTTTTGTAAGTACATCTTGAATAAATAAGATCTGGTGCACAAGCCGTCGAACATTAAGAGATGTTAAGTTTGACCTAATGTAGAGATCACAGTGGTGAGTCCTATATGGGCAGTTCAATGCAAATCTTAAGGCCGAGTGATAGATGAAATCAAGCTTCTTCAGTAGAGTACTTGGGGCTGATTTATACACGATGTCACAGTAGTCAAGTAGAGGCAGTATGGTAGCTTTTATCAATTCCAAACGGAACATTTGGGGGGAAGCAGTGCTTGTGTCGATACAGGACACCTGCATGCAATGGCGCCTGCTCTGAACGTTTGTCGCGTTAATTCACGAGTGTCGCGTTCGATCTTACGCGATTCGAGAGCAGCTAACAGCTGCAGAGTGGACAGCAATTAGAGATTCATTGATTGGCCAATAACACCTTCATATATAGGGGACTACAGATCTTGGGGGCGGGTGTGGAGAGATTTGGTGTCTGCTTACCACGTGGCTGCCTTTCCAACTTGTCTGGTTTCTCGCGCCTCCGAGTTGTTCTGCCTCTCTTAAATTATAAAAAAAACGATAAACCTTCTTTACTTTGACTTAAAGCTTTCGTGACTGCAGGAATTCATATTCTTGGGTCTTTCGGTAAAGTCACGCAGATCGGGTCAAATAAAATAGCGATTGAAACGTCGTAGTTTTTTGTTATTTTCTTTGAACCTATCTACGTGACTTTACCGGAGCACCCAATAATCTACTTTTGTGCAAACTCCAAATATACAGCAGGTGTTCGCGTCGAGATCGAGCCCACGACCTCCTGTATACCAGGCGAGGTAGTTAACATCTCCTAGCCACCATGATGATGATGAGAGAGAGACACGCAAATTCCAAATATACAGCAAGCGTCAGGGTCGGGATCGAACCCACGACCTCCTGTACACCAGGCGAGGTAGTTAACATCTCTGCAGGGTCGAGATCTAACCCACGACCTCCTGTATATCAGGCGAGGTAGTCAACATCTCTGCAGGGTCGAGATCGAACCCACGACCTCCTGTATACCAGGCGAGGTAGTTAACATCTCTGCAGGGTCGAGATCGAACCCACGACCTCCTGTATACCAGGCGAAGTAGTTAACATCTCGCGAGCGCGGCGCCTGGAAAAAGGTAAGAGAAGCAGAGGAAGACTGCGGAAGAGATGAAATCAAATGATCTGGAGGCCACTGCTGTACAGAAGCAACTCAGGAAGTAAGCAATGGGGAGG